CCGCGCAAAATTGGTGTTTCAAGTTAATGTAAATGGGCTCATGCTATGGATAAGAGAGCAAAAAATACACAAGTTTGGTTATATTTTGCATAATATGTATTTCCAAAAAACTTTTAAATTAGGTTCGTTACACCTATTCAGCAGTGAAACCAAGTAAAAATATTTGGAATGAATGTATTAATATTACTTACATATGTATGTATTTGTTTTATAATATAAAGAATACATAATATACATGGCCGGCTAAAGACTACTTAAAATGAATACATACATACTTAGATAGTACCTTAGATAAATACCTCGTATATGCGGAATCCAGTAAAATAAAATTAATTTAAGTTATGATTAATTATAATAATCTTATAGCAAGTGGGTTCAAGGGAAATAAAACTTTACAGTTTTGAAAAAATCGGTTTTTGCGCTTTTGTAAAACTTATTTACCATCGTATACATACGTGGTACTGCGTTTGGCGTATACGAGGTACGCGCTGAGCGAGATATACATACATAGTTCAACACAGTCCAATTTAATCATAAAATATATATGTACAATGTGGTTGTTCACGCTGATTAGGTATTTCATTGATTCTTACAAAGAAGTTGGAAACTGTGTACCTGTGTTCTTATTTAAAAACGCAATTTAGAGTCTGGTAATGTTTACGAAGATATTAACATACATACATATGCACCTAATACGGGAAGACTCATTTTCTAAAATATGTATTTATATACATATATGTATATATATATGAATGTATTTCATTTATTTTCAGCCTTAAAAGGATTTACTTTTCAAAAATGCAAATAAAAATTGATTTTCTTTGGACTGTAAAACTTTTCTATACGTGCTATATAAAAGAATTTGTGATGACCTGATTGTTAATGTAATAAAAAAAACTGGTTATTTTAGCTTACATTTGGCAACTTTTTCGTCTAATCTTGGTTAGAAAGTTCTTTCAGCGGCAGCAACACTGGCTGGCATGCGAAATTCTTGTTTGTGGCGGCATCTGTGTGTATGTAGATTTATTTTTAGATTCTCGTACTGGGAATAGTGGTGTGTTTGTTGTGCCGCTGTTGAGTTCTGTTCTCGTGGTGAATAATGCTTATGCATACAGATGTTTGTATTTATATACCACATTTAGCAGAGATGTCGGCAACTGGCGCCGTGGCTTAGTTGGTTAAAGCGCCTGTCTAGTAAACAGGAGATCGTGAGTTCGAATCTCGCCGGGGCCTTCACAGTTGGAAGTGATTATTTATTTTTTTTTATGCTAAATATATATTATGTACATACATATATTAAATAGTTATTTTTATTTCGCACTAGCAATAGCAATATCACAAACAAAGTTGTTTGATAAAATGTATATAGTATAAACTAAATCAAATAAAAATTGATACGAATTACGTTCGATTCGGGCCCTCAATTTTATTTTTCTATGTAAAAAATAAATTCACATTTTGTCTTAACTATTCAAGTGGATGGAAGTGTATGTATGTACTTAAATATATTTCATTTAGATGGATAAATTAATAAGTTTATTTTTTGTTTTTATTATAAGAAGGTATTTTTGATTGATTCAAATAGAAAAATATATATATGATCCCTTTAATTTAGAATGTAATTTATTAATTTTTTAGCAATTTTCAAACAATTAAGTATTCCAATTCAATACTGTTACATTATGTTGGTCACGATGATAGTACTATCGATGGTTTCAACTATCGTTTCGAAAACAATCGAGTGGCGGTGCTATCGATAGTACCTCAGCTCTACAAAATATGGGGTATGAGGTAGAGGTTTACGCCGACAGGCTTTGCGGCGGCGGCGTGGTCAACTTCAAAAATAATCGGCGGCGGCGGCGACGCCGGCGCGTCTGGAAACGCCGGCGCTACTGCCCATAAGGTAGATTCCAAAGAGCCATGAAGCTTCTAATCTTATCATGTCATCAGATTATAATTCTATTTAATTCATTCATTGACTGCTGCCGATCAGAAGAAAGTCAATATAGTACATACATTAGGTCATTGACTGCTGCCGAACAGAAGAAGAAAGTCTTATAGTACATACATTAGGTTTACCATCGAAAATGCTTTTTTTGAAAATTTAAAGACCCAACCCCCTAATTTGATTCGTTTTTATGAGAAATATTATTGCCTATTTTTATAGATTTTTTAAAGGCCATTTAGAGGTCGCGGCCTGTCGATTTAGGTCAGAAACTACGATTTTCTAGATTCATGAGTTTTTGAATGACTATTTTTGCTTGAATTTCAAAGAATTTTTTAAAATTTGACCATCGATAATTTCCACAATTTGAAAATATGTAGTACTAACGTACAAAAAAAACGATTTTCGATGGGCACCCTAATATACATACATCTCTATGTACTCTGCAAATCCGTATGTACTATTTCAATTTAAAGAAATAAAAAAATTTAAAGGTTAAGTTATTGGGGTAATTTATGTCGCTATCAATAAATTTTTGCAATAAGCTTATCAACCGTTATGTTAAATAACGGAGTTCTTAGGATTTTTTGCGGGTTATATATTGAAAATAAGGTTGGCCTACTTTTTTCCAAAAGTTTAACCCATCAACTCCCACCAGAACGGGTCTTTTTGACCCACTGTTTGAAAAATGGCTTATAAATGGTTAAAATTTCCACTAATATATTAAGCGCCAAATTTTTCTAAGGAGAGCAGAATGTAATGCAAAATAATAGTAATTTTTACCAAAAAGGGGGACTTTAATTCTGTGTAGAAAAGATTGCGATGCGCGAGAGCAAAACCTTCCTGGGGTTTGACCACTACATAGGAATACTAACGTAATTTTTACAGAGCCACCTATTTCTTGTATACGTCTGTGGGACCCCAGAATAAAGTAACTTACGAATGTAAAAATTAGCAAAAAAAGTGTTTGCTTTTTATTAAAATTCTGTTTAAAATGTTTAAAAAAAAACACAGGAAAATCAACTAGTCTTTGTTTTATCTCCAATAATTGAGGAGTTAGATGCAATAAGGGCGCTCCTGTTAAAACAGCTTCCTGAGATATTGGCATTAAAGTATAACTTTCTTGTTGATGTAGTATATAAAAAAGTAGTATTGTTGTAGTATTGAAACAAATTTTCTACTGCGGAAAAAATCGTCAGATTACCAGTATTCGACCCTAATTTAACTGTAATAAACGCTTTCGATCGAAAAACGTGTTACATATGTTTTTTCTGAGTTACGCTTTTTTTTTAATGTTCAGTGGCCCAAGTTATGCAAAAAAACCCCTTTTAAAAATGTAATTTTCATTTCGTAAAATAGTGTTTTTATACGAGTAATATTTAGTTCCTTCAAACGATGTATTTCAATGTGCATACAATATGAAAATTTTGTACAACATTCCTTAGGCGCCGAACGCCGCCGCCGCCGCGCTGATATTTTCGTAACTCGGCGGCGGCGCGTGTGAAATGACAAAGAACGGCGGCGGCGGCGGCGTGGCCCGGCGGCGTATACCTCTAGTATGAGGGTCGTTGGTAGAACAATGAACACGCTTTACTACTACGATAATATTAACTTTCTAAAGGTATCCACTGGTTGTCAAAAGGCGGATACATACATACATATATCGCAACCTGAAATAAAAGACCGTAACTAGTAAAAAAAATCCGAAATTCAAAAAAAAAGTTAGTTACAGCTTGTTTTGCATTTGAGGTGACGATATAATATAATATTTATATTATGAAATCATTATTTACATCGCTAACTTTTTCAATGAAAATTTTTCTTCAAATCTATAGACTAATTTACAAACAAAAGCGAAATAGTGTTGAAAAATATGCCAGACACCCGTCATACGAAAAAAGACATTTGAAACGATATAAATTCAAAATCCATACAATATTTTCCAAAGATATTTCAAGAATCCAGAAAATGGACAGAAGATCATTCAATAATGCTCTTCATACAGCTTGGATGAGTAGATATGAACCCCTATCGCACGTTCCGCATTCGTTTGCTCGAATTTGTAAAATATTTAGAACGTCGAAGTAAAAACTTTGCTGAAAAACTAGCGGTAAATCAAAATTTTCCGCCCTCTCAATAGTATTTTCTCGTCTCGTTATTTATGCCAAGGTAAATCTTATTGCTGGCCGTTGCGTAAATTTTGAGAATTATGCGATCAAAATTATTTGGCTTATAATAAAATGATTTAAAGCAAATTGAAAATTTATTAATTCAAAAATATCTGCTGTTTCTTTAAAAATTCGAATTTTATAAAGAAGGCGTAAAAAGTTGTAGATGCAATTTAAAAATCTAGATAAGATTTTTTTTTTGTATTTTTATAATCAAATTTAGTAGTATCTAATTAATAATATTTTTCATTATAAAAAGAAGCATTTCCGAATTATCGGGCAATAATCTATTTCTATTTTCAACATAAATGCAACCCGATGCACTAAGCACAGTTTCTGAGTTCACTGAGGAACGTGATACCGTCAGTCGTACAAGATGAATGGGATAAAGAGTACGTTCACGTATGTCATATTCCGAAAAATGTGTTTTTACGTGACGAGTAATACGATATCGTATGTGACGATTCGAGCCTTGGTGAGCTCCCTCTTCAGCTTTATCCAGTTTTCAGCTTTATTGATGTCAGAAAAAAACTAGTTTTGAAACGTGGGTCACAAAATATTTAAACAACGGGACAATACGTGAAGCGGACGATAAGTAGGCATGCATAGTAGTACGATTTTCATCTTATTTTTTAATAATTTTTTGCGGACAGAACAGTTTTATTTTTAATATAAGATTATTTTATAACTTGAATTTCAGGGGATCAAAATTATGTAGATCGGATATCCAAATCCGGATCTTGGTGGATTTTTACTTTTTTCCCTTTTGGTTAACTCTTCTCGGGAAATACCCTATATATACATGCGAGTATGTAAATATGTATGTATATTCGAGATATTGCGAATGCCATTATTTCACATTCGCGAATGCAAATTCGAATTTCCAGAACGTGAATGTACAAATGCGAATGCGAATTGCGAAGGTTTAGGAATATCCTTAAAAAGCCTATAACTAACTTAAGTCAATGTTTTTATTAATTATAAATTGTATACATTATAAATTGGATATAAACAATTAAAAAAGGCTAGGTTCGGGTGGAGCCGAACATTAAATACACGGCGCAAGTATTAAATATAGTTTTTTCACTTTTCTGAAAACTACCGTTACATGGAATAATGGTTTTACCCCTATTATAGTGTGTTCAGTTATACTTAATGAGATAAACTTATACGGTTCGATGTGGACGGTATCACGCCCACTTTCCAAAATTCTATAATAATGTTACTTATTTCAAGGGAGTGTTTTTAGTATAAATTTTGGGTAAATTAGCGTCGAAGTTTCAAGTATTTCTAAAATTTACCGTTATATGAAAAGTGGGAGCAATTTTAGTCCGATTTAAATAATTTTAAACGTTTTGCTTTTATGCAAGTTTGGTATGCAAGTTTGGTACAACTTGATCGAACGGTTACCAAGATATACATACCAGGTCATAAGTGGGCGGTGCCACGCCCATTTTCCAAAATTTTATCACAAACGTGTTTTTTGTTAAAACGTTATTGCAAACATCAATTTTGAATAAATTAGCTTTAGTATTTACTGATTTATCGAAGATTTCGTATTCTCGAAATTACCGTTAATGGGATGTGGGCGTGGTTATTGTCCGATTTTTATAATTTTCAGCCATTTGATATGTTGTACCAAGGCCACCAACAATGCCAAGTTTGGGAGAAAACGGTGGAGCGGGTACATAGATATATGCATATAATCATAAGTGGGCGTGGCAACGCCCATTTTCCAAAATATTTAAAAATGTTCTGGACCGATTTGAAAATACCTCCAAAAATGGAGTTTTTTATGAATAAAAATAGTTTTTTAAAGAACTTTTTGAAAAAAGTCCCCTCAGATTATAAAACAGACTAAGCTTAAAAAATCTGCATAAAATTATTTAAAAATCTTCTCAACGGAATCGCAATAATGAGATTTTTGATGCTCTTTTTACTTTTTTCAAAGATTGATTTTCGAAAATCTTAAATAACTGAGCCAAAACTATTCCGATTTAGACTTATGGGATCAGATATTTTCCCACTGTTTTTATTTCTGTCGAAAAAAGTCATTCGTGTCCAAATTTTTTTATTTATTTTTTGTTTCAAATACCAACACATCTTTATTCATCCTTTGATAGAGTTTATTAGCAAAGAAATAAAAACGGTAAGAAAATACCTTTCCAATGACACCTCACAAGTCTAAATCGGAAGATCGAAGAGTTTAGGTTCAGTTATTCAAGTTTTCCTTATACAAATCTTTAAAAAATATATAAAAAACAGCAGCAAAAATCTGATTATTACGATTCCATTCAAAATTTTAAAAAATTTTGTAAATATATTTTTATGCAATTTAAAAAAAAATCTTTAAGATGGAGGTATTTTCAAATCGGTCCAGTTCACGTAAATCTTAATATTTTTCCGAAATATTTTATAATTATAATGGAAACACAGTACCGATTTTTTTTTTATGGGGAGTGATGCAGTCTAATATAAATATATTTATATACAAGCCCAAATTGCGTTTAAAAGCTGGTACATGTTTTATTATGGCAAAGACGAAAGTTCACCTACGGAGTCTGATCTCTCTTTTGGCTCCAAGTACTTACTGCCTCTTGAGTTTGCCCTCTCAGAAATTATATACTTTTTGTGGATGGTATAAGAATAGGGACCAAAATGCCAATGTTCGCGAAAGTATTGCCTTATGAAATATCGCGTTAACGGAGCATAGTGGAAATTCAACCAACAGTAGAAGCATTATGCCTCTTTGCACGCAAGACCTCGAGATAAATGGAGCCAAAGGCAATATTATCGAAAGTTACCTCGATGCGGAAGCAATTCCGTACGTTTCTCTTAATATTTATTCTTTTACTTTCTGTGAGATATTGCCAACCTAGAAGCGTACTTAGATTAGATTTTGAGGAGGGAGCAAGTGTCCTAGTTAAGGCGACCGAAACGATCTATTGCAACAAACCACTATTTGGCTACAGGTCTTACGTGTTCACGTATTACTAAGATACCTCGCGAGGCCCTTTGGTTGAATTCAATTTAGGTCGTGTGTTTTGGTGATCCTAGAAAGCGAAGTCTGGCCCTAGTGAGGGCTATGCTGTTTCCTTTTCTTCGTTGCACAACCAACACTGATCAGAGTTAACAACTCCTGTGTTTGACAAGTGTTTCATTACCCTGAAGTTGCCAGAAAGAACACCTGTATCAATTCGTTAGAAATCGACGCTTTGCTCGATGCTCTTTGTTTGCCGCCCCACTATGTTTTTAACCTTAGCCTGTCTATTACCTTCCGTATTTGTTCAATAATATTGCGCTTCGGTCTTCATCCAGATATAGAAGTTTCGCTTAACCGAGCGCCATGGCAGACCAAAAAGGGTCCTGGGCCTATGAATCCCTGTGCAGCCCCATTTCTGGCGAGAATATCTGTCACTTTATTGCCTATGACAGCGCTGTGTCCCGGTACCCATATGAGTAATACCCGATTCCTGGAAGCGATAAGTATTAAATGCTGAAGGCGCACTTTATTTTGAACTTCTAAAACCAATTCATAACAAGGGTTGCCAAATTTGTTCGCGAAATCAGTACATTTGGCTTTTTCAACTAAAAATACAGTACTTTTCAGTACACTTTTATTCAAAGCAAAATAAAGAATGTAAGTAATACTTTAAAAAGAGAGAGTACCTGTTTTTTAACAATATCTTATATAACTTCATATATGTATAAAGAAAATGTAGTTCATAAAAATAAAAATTTTATTAATTTTAACACATATTAACATGTGGTTAGCGTAAAATATCGTTATAATATCACATTGTACACAGGCGCCAATAAATTATTTGATACATATTTATGATATTTTTAAGCGACTTCAAAAAAAGGAGTAGGTTATCAATTCGTCGGAATATTTTTTTATGTATGTTACCGCATAACTTCGGATCGCGTTAACCGATTTCGATAATTCTTTTGTCATCGGAAAAGGGGTACCTCTATGGTGGTCCCATGTGATCATGCAGAACTTAATGGTACGCTTTAAATTTGTATATGCATTTAAGTCGGTTTTGTTTTTTGATTAAAAATTACTGATTTGCTTAAAATGTACTTGTTGTAATGAGATCACTTTAATTTCAGTGTTTAAAGAGTGAAAGAATTATTTACATTTCATTTTAAAATTAATTTTAATTTGGAGTTCACTTTCAACAATTTTAATTAGAAGTCTCTTTGCGCCAGAAAGCAAACTTTATACTTAAAATCCTATCAGTTGCTTCGTTTGAGTGTGGTACCGAAAAACAAATTGCATATCTTTTCAAACTGTGAAAACGTATGTACCACTATTTAAGGACTTCATTCATTCGTGGCAAAATATATATTTTTGCAACTGCGCAAAAACTTTGAAAGGCTTAGAATTCGCTAAAAAAAAGAGTATTTAAGATATCGAGGTGTCCTGTATGCAAAACTATTTTACAATGTCAGTAAATTGAGGAAAATGAATTGTAAGTTGTAGGCAAAAGCCATTCAATTATTCAAGTTTATTGTTATTAAACCGAAATATATTTTCGAGATAACTAACAACACTCGACGTAAAAACGTCAGCCCTCTTTAAAAAATTATACTCCTTAATATTTCGCAACTGGTACGTGAGGACTCGGTCTTATGCCCATAAAACCATTGTTCTTTTTAACCGACTTCACAAAAAAGAGAAGGTTATCAATTCGTCGGAATATTTTTGATTTATTTTTGATGTATGTTACCGCATAACTTCGGACCACGTTAACCCATTTCTATATTTTTTTTTTTAAGAAAGGGTGTTACCTCACAGGTGTCCATACTAATTTGGTTTAAATCCGATCATTTTATCATGAAGAAATTATCGATAATCTTAAATTTTTATATGAGAATTGAAGTCGGTTTTGTTTTTTGCTTAAAAATTACTTGTGGTAGCACTAATTTCCTGCGCATATGAAAAAATTTTAATTAATATTGACAATTTTAAAATAATTGTCTGAAATATGTCAACTATAATTAAATTATGTTTTCTTTTCTTACTTTTCACAATACAGTTTAAGGCACTTCCAAAATTATGTAAAAACCTTAAAAAATCCTAATATTGTAATATTATTTTACACAAACAAAATACACTGGAAAAATTACCGAACTGATTGAAGAAATATATAAAATCAGTACGAGAGTTGAAAAATCAGTACTGTATTGATAAAATCAGTACGTCTGGCATCCGTATTCATAACGAACAAAAATGTCTTACCTTGTGTACATTATGATTATTTTAGATACGATTTCTCAGCCTTATTAACTGCTCTTGCATCGTTTCCAAAACCTACACCAGTATGTGCCTAACTACAGAGAATTCTATTAATACCTAATATGGAAAAGTGAATATTCTGTCCCTATAAAATGCGAGCAGTTATTAAGGGATTCTAAAAATGCCAACAACGAAAATGAGGATTCTTAAAAAAAGCACGCTCGCATCCAATGCATACAGGTATATCCCTTAGCAAGAATGCCCATACCAGGTATGTATGTACGTATGTAAGTAAGTATGTATGTTTGCCATAATTCTGCTACAAAGCGCGCCAATTTATTGAACGTTACAATTTTCAATACATAAATCGCTTGCTATTGTTCTTTTTGTTGCTCTTGCCCTAAACGTTATTGCCTGCTGTTATCTCAAGAATAGTGTCCCCAGTAGGAACTATCATGTGACCGAAACCTAGTCTCACATGTTTATACACAACAGTGATGAAAAATGGGAATTTCACATCGTACCTAATATCATAAACTAAATGTACCTAAATGGCCAGAGTGTACCTAAAAAAACTTGTATCATTCATTTGTAGTGTAGGAACTGAGCTGATATCTTCACTTGTAAGAATCGAAATATCTTTTTGAAGACTGATCAATTTTAAAGAAAATTTGAGGAGAAGACAAAAAAAACACACCTTGCATAGT